GAGAGAGCAGCTTTAGTGGGCACCTGGCTTTCAGCCAGGGTCAACCCACTACAGAGCTGATGCCTTGTCAAACCCACCTGGCCTGCTACTTTCTCAATCCATCACCTGTCTTAAGGAACTGCCACAAATGTGGCTGAGCAGGCAGGGGAGCAGCAGCAGCCTCTCCTCCTCCTTACATAGGCTGTGCAGAGAGCAGAAACAAAGTGCTTGCATGTTGGGGGTTGCTGCAGCAAGTTTTCAATAGTAAACCAGTTAGGACAACAAATACTCAATTTAAACATAGCTAAGAGGGAGGAAAATATCTTATACCTGAGAAAATGAGTTGATTAACACTGATGCTTTTGACAAACTACTGTATTCTAAAACACTCTGGAGAAGAGAAAGGCTTCATTTTAGCACAGGAGTGTGGTAGTTAGCTTTTCAAACGTATCACCAAGGTCACTACAGACACCTGAAGTTCATTTCTATAGAAAGAAACACTGAGCTATAAGCAACAAGGCTCTTTGTGAAACCAGAAGTACCTAATAAGCTGGAAAATTTTACTACCCTCCTAACTGCTTTTTGTTCATTCTTGATAGATGGTTGTGGATCCACTGGCAATTCTCCAGACCAGCCTTGGCAATCATGTGGAACATATTATCCTCTTGGGCAGAACTGCCAAATCTGTTCCAACTGTTCCACTCAGCTGTAGACCCAAACACTTAAACACAAATCACTCACACGACAATACGCTCCATCATAAAAAAATTCCATAAAAGGCTGAAAAAGATACCAGTGGATTTATCCTCTCCCCTGTTATGATAATTTGCTTTTTCTTCTTCCATATTTATTAATATTTATTTATTTATGAGTATTTGGAAGTCTTCTAATAAATACTAATCAAAGGTATGGGATTGAGATGGTAACAAACCACTTCAGAGATTTTTAGGTAGACACCAGCAAATTTACCCTTTACCTTCTGCTATAGTGCTCTCTCTGTCTCACTTGTTCTGTTCTATGTGTTTGAATGTGTCTGTGAAGATCCAGCCTCCATTAACAGCTGAAGCCACACAAAGGACACTGATAACTCAGCCCAACAAAAGTTTGCCTGGATACACAGCTTGGTGATTTTTAAATCTTTTCAACCTTTCAATCCATTTTATTGTGTTTGTCTGAAATCACTGCCTTAGTATGCTGTAGTCACCTCAAGCAACTTCCTTCCCTGGAGTGTGCAATCAAAATTTTTGGTATGGTAAATTCCTGCCAACTATATTACTTGCACATGATATGACAGCTCATTACTTTAGACAAGCTATTTCACCTCCGTATGTCACTCATTTCAGAGCTGACCATCACTGCTCTGATGTCCAGTCATTTGAAGTCCGCTCCCATGTCTGAATTTTCAAATGTTGAACCCTCTGGGGAGGTGCTCTAAAGAAATAGCTCTGCTGTAGGTAACTGGTGGGGTAGGGTCAGGGGGATAGTGAAGGAGGCAAAACATTCCCTTCATATCTTCCTAGTTTATTAGCAGCAAAACACGATGGACTTTATGCAGGAGAAATGCACATCTTTCAGTCTGCAAACTACCACTTGCAGCTGTGGCAGTTTCATCCATTTAATATCATATATATATATGTTTCTAAAATCAAAAGCTACAGTCCTAAGTGACTTCATTTTTTTCTCTTAGACAGGATTAAGAAAATTATGTTGTAAGTCTAAAATCAGCACAATGAATTGATGTTTCTTCCCCTACCAGACTTACCTGTATCAACAGATAATGTCTTTGAAATGAAGCATTATTTGGCATCTCGATTTGATTATATCATAAATGGAGCTTGTACTGTGTTGGATGTTCTTCCTCTAACACTTGGGTGATTTTCCATCCTAATACAATGGACTGAAAGTCTCTTCAGTTTTAATCACAGGACCACATGACTGATTTCAGCACCAGCTTTATGTGGACATTTATGCAAGAAAGGCTCTGGCTGCAGTAATTTTTTCTGTCTGGTAACCTAATGAGTTTGTTGATTCATTGAATGTGTCATTCAATAAGCTTTTAATGACTTGTGGATTTCATTTGAACTCTATGAATAAGCTGTGAGAAGTTTTGAAACAGAATCTCAAGTTATATATGCTGACAGAAATTAAAGATATGAGCACTCTACCTCAAGGCATTGTTAGTAAGAGTTTAATTTTATTTGATTTTAAATTTAGGGCACAGGCCAATGAAAATGTCCTTAATTTGTATGCTGTGGGAACTACACTTGCCAAATTGATTTGGGGGATTTGCATAATATGATGATCTCAGAGCTTCATATGGAGTCTGACCCTTATATTTCATCCCTTTTGAAGCAGAGTACTTTTTCCTTTTCATACTGTCTTGTCCATTTCACAAATCTATTCAGTTCTTATGGCTTAGTTATTATTTAAACTATAAAAAAATAATTGTCTACCCACTGAACACAATGTTATTACTGCTTTCATGTTATTATCACTTCCAGCATTGTTATTAGAGCCAACTTTAAAAAATAATGAGTTTTTTAAATGCTTAAATAATTCTATTAAAAAAATTCCACTTAACATGCAGACATAGAAACTTTTAACTTTGGAGAAAATCAGTTCTTCTCAAGATCTTCTGCTACAGACATTTCATATCTATGGTTCATGGTTAGGGTAAGATGTGGTGACAGTGAAAGGTCCATAAGTGATAAAATTTTAGAACAGTGCTGCATCTCAGAAGCAGGGAGATAGCAGGTTCATACTGATAGAAGTGGAGGATGACAAAAAGAATAGTATGGGATAAATATAGATATATTTTTTTCAACACTCCATTAAAAACTAACGCAGAAAATCCTACGTTCTACTGTCATGTGTGCTGGTTACCATTACAAGAATTACTGGATTAGTTTGCCTAAAAATTTGAGAGTGGAGAAAATGGTGAGCTCTCCATACCATGTGGTCCTATCTCTTTGCAGGAACTCCCAGCTACTGCAGGTACCTACTTTTTTCTGCCCCAGCCCCAGTTCTAGCAGATCTATACATGTACAGATCCAGATTGGCCAGATCCATACATGTGCTTCTCCAAAACAGTCCTCTGAGAGGGCTGCTTTGTCCACTAATTCTAATACAGGTCATGTTACCAAACACTAAGTCACCTTTTCCTAATTTAAATTCATTCATTCATCTGACATGCTTCTTCTTGCTGTAATTCATTTTACATCTTTCCTTCTCTAAGTTTTTCTTCTCCCAGACTTTTCAGTCACATTTTGTGGTTTACCAATTTCATTGGTCTTCCAAACTTGCCTGGATATTTCCAAATCCTCAGGAAAGTCCTGTTACTGCACTCCCTATGGCCATCTCTTGTTTTGTTTTATACTACCAAACTTTTAAAACTTCATTCTGCTCTCTCTTTCTTTCACTCTTATTTCACTTAAGCTTTTCACTGTTCCTCTTTACTCAGAAGTAAAAGACCTGAGCTTAATGGCTTCTGAAATCATTCAGATAAGCTATCAAAGGGCTTACTTGAACTCAAGTAGTCAGTTGGTGTTTGGATTTTAGTTTTATTCCTTACTACTGGGCTAATTCCAAGAGTTTGGTTTGGCTTGGTTTGGGTTTTCTTTTGTTTTGTTCCTGAACCCTTGACATCAGCCTTATTTCATAGAAGATAGGAAACAGGTCTTCTGTTGTGTTTGTAAATTGAAGCTATTACACTTCCCTACCTCATATATTCTACTCCAGAAGCTCTCTGGTGACCAGAGTCACCAGAAGCAGACATTTGACAAGCTGTCTCTCTTGTTTCCAAGTATTCCATCATAAGTTTCCCCTTGGCATCATTGCCACTTGGCACTAAGGGGACAATCATCCCATGAGCAAAAGCCTTGTGCATGTGAAAGAGAATAGCTGTGAATGCCCGGCAGTGTAAAACCACTTTTGAAAATGTGGTATTAAAACAGTAAGCTGATATGTATTCTGCAGAAACCAGCCAATTCTAAGCACATTACAGTGGCCAAGCCATAGTAATTGTTCCTAGGCTGAACAGCTGCACTGTCTTCTTCCCACAAAAATAAAAATGGTAGGAAATATGCCATGGAGCATGACTTTATGTATTTGTATAACTGAAAACTTGATAGTGGCTGCAATAATGCAAAGTATGTGAATATTATGAGGCCATTTTATGAAGAGATAAACTGAGGGCAAAGGTTTATGATTTGTCAAAAGTAACACATGGCAGAGCGAGGAGTTCCTGGCTCTACTCCTACTTTACAAGTCTGCAAAGGGTATACTAGTGCCTAGCTCTTGCTGTGTGGTTTAGATACATTACAGTCTTAATTTCCACCATTTTTATTAGTGTATTAGCACTCTGATTGCCCACTAGTAATTTGGATTAGTTTTACTGGACTGATTTTTGCTCTGGAGCTACAAATGTTCAACTACTATTACTAACACACAGCTTTCTGTATGAGCTGATTCTGAGTGAGACTGAACATATGGGAAATTGTAATAGTACACTGGAGTTTAACACGGTCTTCCCTTGGTGTATTATTTCAACCTTCTTATGTTGTCCCTTCACAGCAGGAGGCTGCTATGCAGCAGAATTGCTATGGATAACACATGTATATACACTCACAGGGGTTGTTCACCGTTGTAAATTGTTTGTATTATATACAGAACTGTATTCAAAAAGGGGAGAATGAAATGTGTTTGAATTTATACATATTTTTTTGTCTCCAGAGGTGCACAAAACTCTTTCCATATTTCTGATGGACTAAAAATTTTCTCCAGTATACTATGTCTCACAAATACAGCATGCAGGAAGTGTTTTGAATGTGCAGAGATAATTTGTGTAGGTGAGAATGAAATTTGGCCACTATAATCTTTCTAATGTATTGATCTTGGATCTGGTTATGATCAATCTTCAGCAAAAAGTCCTGTGGTAAAGACGTTGCTTTTGCTGTGTATTGAAACTGAGCGCTGGTGTTAATTGAAGAGTCAAACAATCAGAGAAGACAGGAATTCCTTACCACACAGATTCCAGATCCATCAAGGCATCTGTTTGCATTGCCGTTACAGTTGCAAGGAGAGCATTTTCCTGAGCTGGTACGATAAAATCCTTCTTGGCATTCCTGAAATGAAAAAAAAATGTATTTCCTAAGGTTTGGTGGGAGGAGCAGAAAGCAAGAACTAAAACCATCAGGTCTCCCCAGAGCACACTGCACAACCCAGTCATAGCAGACCACACACACACTGCTGAACTGGAGTCTGTTCTTTTACTCTCTGTCCTGGTGCTTGCTTTTTTGCCTTAGAGTATTCAAGCTGTCAGAATTCCTGCCTGTGTCCTGTCCCTGACCAGCAGTGGGGGTGGAGCTGGCAGATTCTTGCTACATTTTGTACTAGAGGGTAAATTAACCAGAAATGATAATCCTTCTCAGCAAAGAAGGTGTATTTATAGGAAAGGAATAGCTTTTACTTGAAAAAAGGAAAAGCTTTAGAAAATTTACTTTCTATCAAAACTTTGATGAGCTTTGGATGAATAATCTACAGGAGACAGAAACATACCTAGAAAGATCAAGGCCCTTCTAAATAAATGTGTGGCTGAGCCCATTGTATATAATTTAGTATTTTTGATAACATACCAAGCTTACCAAAATTAAGCAGAAGATTGTAAATATCTACATCACCTTCTTTTGAATACTAATTAGAGCAACAGTATAAGGAATCAGAAACACAAGGCTATTAAGATGCCCCTCTAAGACTGAAAAATAAAGAGAAAATAAAAGAGGGTAACTTTCCTTTGATGTGTTATGTGTAAATTCTTATTCTCCACTGAGGAACTTCCTCATTAAGCAAAGCTGGTGAGACATGCACACAATGACCTCAGGAGCAACATCTCTTACTCAGTCAGCGCTTGCTCTCCCCGTCCAGTGTCCCTGTGTCACATGTATTATGTTGGTTCTGTGCAAACTCATGAATTTTTGGATCCTAAATATCTTACCCTTAACTAACTCTTGTAATATTGTTGCAGAGATCATGTGAAGGCACCAGCATGTCATTCAGCTCCCAAAAATTATTTATCACACCCTGTTTCTGCAATCATTTGCAAATAGCATCCCTGAGGTGGCTGTCAGAGCCTGAGGTATGCCAGGCTCTCCTGGCATATTTTTTGTGGCTGTCTCTACAGCACTTTTTGTATTCTGCAGATCTTGAGGACCTACCCTTGCAAAAAGTGGGAAAAGTGGAAAGTTCAAGTGATGCAGAAGAGCATGAGCCTCCTCGCATTTGTATGAGCTAGAAGGCTTCTTACTATATTGTACTGATCAAATTAGGATTAGATTTCCTTTGTATCTCCCTGAAAATGCCCTGAATTCAAGGATGAGGGTTTTTTCTCTACTGCAGCAACCTTTGCTTCTCATGTCCACAGTAAGCTACGGCATGAACAGCAGATCTACAGCATCAAATGCAGCACCATGGAGTTATACCTCCACTAGTGGCAAAAATTGGGCTGTGAGTGTTAGTGCTAAATACCTCTGCCGGTGGCTGGGGCTACCTAATCCTGGCACAGTGCTATGGCCCTGTCATGTCTGGAATCCACACTTGCATGTCTTCGTGGTGGTAGTTGTAGCTGTGGAGCACTGGGTAACAAAAGACGGGCATCTAGAGTTTCGTCTCCGTGTTAACTTCCATTCTCAAATGTGAGTAGGCACTTCTATCCAGCCAGATAAGCTGCTTGTTTAGAAAACAACGTATCTTGTGAGAGGACTAACAACAAGCTTTAAAAAATGAGGTTTGAGAACGAATCATTAATCTTATCCCAGAGAGCTCTGAGAAGCTCAGATGAACATAAAAGGAAATCACAGTTGCCTTTCCCCTTCTTATGCACAATATTTTATCTGGTTTGCTTTGGAAACAGTTTATTTGATAATAGTTCCTGGGAGGAAAAGTCTTCATACCACAGCCACTTTGGGGCAGCAGAAATACTGTCTATTTGTACTGCTTATTTCTTTCGGTTGTTTAGTCTTAACACAGAGCGGTAGGACTGGCTCCTGCCAGACTGAGGGTTGCAGCAGAATGATTACACCACACACTGTGGAAGGGAGACAGTTTCTAAATCGAAAACAGATTCTTGTCCCAGTGTCTGCCTTTGCAATATTTCTTTCCACCCATACAGATCTAAAGCTTGTTATATTCTCTGATGCCACTCAGCTGGAGGGTGGTCCTAGCTGGTCCTTTAGTGTCTGCCCAAAAGCTTTCTTGGCTTTGCAGATCTAAGCAGAATAATTTTTTACTTGTAATAGGGAATACGCACAATGAAAATGTAGGGATACGTGTAAAGGTGTCTAGGAAAATCCTTTAGTCAGCCACAAAGATAATCTTATTTTTACTTCAACTAAGGGCGTGCCTGCATTGCAGCCATGAATGAGATTTCATCTAGTCCACACATAGAGTAGTAACAAGTTAGGTGCAGTTCAGTGCAACATTGCTGGTTCCAGCAGTATGGGCAGGTGTTGAGCAATCTTTTGTGAGGTCCGCTGGGAACCAGTTTACCTCCTATTCTGAAAAGACACACTTCTCACTTCCTCAGGCCATCAGCCTCAATTTGTGTACCTCTGCTATTTTCATCATCAGAGCCCCTCTTGAAAATGGGATGAAGGGTCCCAAGTCACCTGAGTATTTTTTTTGCAACATTTTTTCCACACCTTATTCAATTCATCATAAAAACCTAGAAGATACTGATGCTCACTATTTTAATACAGTACTTTAAACCATGGGTTGCAGCAGTGTAAGCCAGAAATGAGGTATTGACAATCAATGCTATGAGGGAAGAGGGAATGAGGGGAAAATGGGATCCAGATTGTTTTCTTTGGGCTCAGAAGTTTTCTCAGGCATTCTGAAGTATTCTGATATATTTGTGTTGCTCCTTGCCCTACTAGTGATAATGGAGTGATTGGCTAGTTGTTCCAGGGTGTGAGCCAACATCATATTTATAAAAAAAAGTGTCAGAGTGTTGAACTTATTGAGGGATTCAAATTGCTGAATGTTCTGGGAGCACGAAATAAGTGCACACAAAGCACAAACAGGTCTGGAACAAAATAAAAATACTCTCCCTGAAAAATCATTATGAAGGTAATTGAGTGAGGAACATTTCCGTCCACTGTCTGTTTCTGAACGATGAAGACAATTAGTAGGCCAAAATGTTGGGTCTGCATTAGCAATTATGTCTTCACAATTATTAGATTTTTTTTTACCCAAGGGACAAAGTTTGTTCCAGTTCAAGCTGAAAAAGTCCAAATGAATGTTGGTCTTGCTGATCTCCTGAAAATTTTAAACCCATGGGGCATTTATTCCCCCTCCCTTCTCGCTTTGCATCTGGATTTAATTATTACATTTCTAAAAAACAAGAACCAGCTGCATGCTGAAAGTGCTGTGGAGTCTGTAGTCATATTCTGTTTCTTCAGACCCCTCTACTGGTCTGGGTGCAAGATGGGACTGAAGATGGAAGACAATCCACTTATGCATGGTATGAATTTACTCTCATATTATATTCAAGCAGTTCCATTGCTGTCATTGCAGCTGCTCCTGATTCAAACCTGCATCACTGAGGGCAGACTTTGGCCCACCGTTCCAGCTAGAAGTAGTGGTGCAGCTGTGCTGGTGTAGATATGTTTGCTGTGACCCTGCTTCCTCTGGTTTTCTTTTCCCAAAAGAAGAGTGCTGTGCTGGTAACATGCACTGAGTGTCCCCTGTGACTACATCTGCAGTGTCCAGCTGAAAGGCCAGGTGTGGTTTCAGGCCTCCATTTGCTCCTTGACAGATTGTAATTTTCCTGACAATGACCAGGCACAGCTCAGAGCATGACATCTGTTAGGACGTGTTCCTGTGAGACAGTCTGTATGGGACTGCTCTTCTCTGGGCAAACTTGGAGAGCGCTTCAACACATGGACACGGGCTGTGTTATGCTGTTTGAATGGGAGGTCCCCACACTGCTTTATTCAGTAATTCAGATGTAGCCATTGACTTGCATTTAATGGTAAGAAAACATGGCATATTTCTTTAGTTAGTGCTGGAACTTGTGCCTTTCCTGTGAGTATATAAACACACAAAGGGTCTCTGTCTTTCAGAATAAAAGGCTCCCTTGGATCCACACCAGTGTTTGGTATTTCCAGAGTTTTCTTTTGAGTGCTAGGGTACATGAAAGGATGTGTATTCAGGGCTTAATGGTCTACATTAAGACATTTTAGCCTTTATTGTATTCAGTATACTCATGCCTACCAGTCTTGGACCAGGAATCCCATTACAATCTGACCCAAAAAAAAAACCCAGGAGAAAAAGATGTTGTTTGCCTCCAGGACCATTGTAAAAGAGGAGGCAGCTGTTGCACTTGGGGAACTGAATCTGAGTAACATCACTTAAAGTAGTAGGGATGGCACATCAGCTGCCAATTCACTGCTAAGTATAGTGTCAGTTGAGCCTTGGTTGTAGCTCACCAGCAGTGTTATGGTCTTTGCTTCTAGAGATAGAGTCCAAAGATATGCTTTCCTTTACCCTCATGCCTGAATATCCACATAGTAAGTAAAGTAAGTAAGTAATGGCCAGTCTTCGCGAACGAAGAACTGGGGAAGGTCTTTACACCTTCCACTCTCGCTTCAAAGGTCTGCTCAGGATAGTAAAAATGAATGCAGTCTGGACACAGCTGAAAGCAATAAACTCATGGGCTTGTGATGAAATGAAAATTAACTTAATTAACACGATATCCCAGATCTACATGCTGAAATAAAAAGAAGTCTTATCGTGTGTCACAAACACCTGAATTTTGTGTAGAAGGGTGATTTTTGATGTCAATAGGCAAAAATGCATATTTTTTTAAGTTTCTAACAGCTCCCATGCATTAGTTTTTTATATGCCATGAGTTAAATATATGACTATAGCATAACTTATAGTATGCTACTTAGGTCATAGTAACTGTTCTGATCATGTTCTTTTAGCCTTCAGTGGAGGAGAATAAAGTTAATTCTCATTACCTGTCATCTAGTGATGGCCAAGTACATACACAGGTAGCTATTTCTGGTTAAGCTAACACATCACAGCTCATTTGCCTGCTTTATGTTACTGGTGTTGTAAGTTCATTGGACATATAGTTTAATTTTGAAAATATATTTGTGCATTCAAGTTTTCATTTTTCTTCTGTCTGACCTGTTCTCTAGAGGTGGTAAAAATACTGCCAGAAGACATATCCCTAAGGGAGTCGTAATCTGAGAAGTGAGAAATTTGGCATGACCAGCTATCTCTCAATCAAAAAATTTATGGAGAACTGTGACACATACTGTGAATTATTTGCATAATAATATTTGCCACTTGACATAGATTGATCAACAGTTTTGGGATTGTGAGACCCTCAGAAATCCCCACTGTCTCTTGTGAAAGAAAAGAAAAGAAGAAGAAAAGAAAACAAACTCTACTTCAACATTACCAAGTTTTGCCTCAGAACCTATGAAAAAGAAAATAGAAAAATGTTGCTTCTCTGATGTAACAGGCATCTTATCAGCCTTAGATACATGTAAAAGTAGGATACATGCAAATAAATTTATTCCAGGTTTTTAATGTGCTGATGACAACAGTCATAAAAATTGGATGGAGCAATGTTCCTTCTTGACTACTTCATGCCAATATGTAATGTTTGTCTGGAAGGAATGGTTTAGACAAACAGAAGTTTAGGACACAATGTAATATCAAATCCCTGAAACTCTATTATATCTTTTGCCATACAGGGGTGAGTGAACACCCTAAACATCCTTCATTCATTCTAAAATCCTTGTGTCTAAAACAGACAACAGTTTGCTGGAAGTGCATGGCATTGCAATGGAAACGTCACCCTTCTACTCCCTGAGGACATTTCTAAACCCAATCCAAACATGCTTGTTTATGTTTATTATTCTTTATAAGCAGTATTTGAAATTGGCAGTCACAATTCTGAGGCCTTTTTGAAGATTGTTTGCTTAGGCCAAATTGAGATAAATATCCTACTGCCCTTCCTAAAAATAAAGATGTTTTCATGCTTGAATATCTCCCAGTACTTTCATTTATGTCATTATTTATTAGATATAAGAACATCAGAGAAACAAGCCTGAAAAAGCAGTCCTCTACTGTACATTTGGTGTTATTTCAGTTTCTCTGGTTTCCTCAGAACAGGACTCTTTTCAAAAGAGATTCCTGTTTTTGATCACCTACAATGGAGTCCTCACTTTCAGAAATGCTCAGTCCCCAGACAAAAGTTCACAGAAATCTTGCCAAATATTCAGCTTTCAGCAGGTCTTGCCCGTCCATGTCAACCCTGAAGACAGTCCTGGGCTGAACCCCAGAGGACCTCTGTGCCCCAGGTGCAGTGCTGAGCTAACACAGCTGTAGCTGTGCTAGTACAAGGGCATCCTGGCCAGCATCCTCGGCAGCTGGTCAGCCTGACTGCCTGTGTAGGAAGACCAAACCACAGCAAGCTGGGAGTCATCAACATGGAGACATCCACACAGGAAGAAGCCAGCTGGACACCCTTTGTATGGTTTGATTTCCTCTACTCTGAAATGCATCATAATGAGGTCAGCTGTGCCTATTGCTGTCCACTGATTGCAAAGCGGCACTTGGAGGGCCAGCTCATGTGTAGGTGCCAGCACTGCATAAAAAGTCCAGGGAGACTGAACCTGTTGTACATGTCAGATATTCTGTGCCTTGTAGAAGTGTCCAGGCTGCAACAGCTGTGCTGGATAAACTGCTGAACACCCTGTGCCTTTGGAGAAGTACAGTGGCTCCTTAGAGCCTGTTTCACCAGTCAGGATATTCAGGTAGAGAAAGGGGATGCATCTAAAGGAAATCTTGAGGTCTAACAGGCCCAAAAAATTCCTTTCCTACACTTCAGTTAAGCTGATTTTGGACAGTTCAGAGCAGGATCATGGGATGTTTCCATTTGTCCAGATAGTGTCTACTCTGATATTTACAGGTAGCTTTCCAAGGGAGCTGTATTATATCGCTCTACACTGGTGCCACTTCTCCACTGCATGCTTGTGCATTCAAAAATCTACAAACAGAATCTTTTCAGTCCAGCGCTGAGATATGTTTGTTTTCTCTTTCAGGGGCAGAGAGCATACATATATACCAGCACCTTTAGTAAAGGTATAATTTTTAGGAAGACTTTTAAAATATAACTAGTCATTCACTATCTGGAAATTGATTTTATTGCTGCTAGTGGCTCAGTCCTTCTTCGACTTGAAGGCTTTGGACAGCACAGAGCATATTTATGAAAGAAAACTGTAATAAATTATTATTAAGACTTTCTATTGGCATCCAAAATAGTTGGTGCTCACTGCAGTGACTTTAGTTCTAGTATGTACCTATGAGATAAAAGATTATCCCATTTTACAGAGAACAAAACTAATGCCTTACATCATGTTAGTGCTGCCATGTTCATTCCTTACTCAAGTTGAATTTAAGCACTGCAGATACAGCTGGAAAGAACTGCAAGAGTTCTGGTGCTGTTAGTGACTGATGATTTCCAGACCTGGTGACTGGAGTAAATCTTCCCACATAACCGTGCAGGAAAGACTGAGCACAGAAAGAAGCATGACCCCACTCTTAGGCCACCTTCTGGTTCCTTCCAAAAGACACACTTTTTCTGCACTAAAAATACTGCTTTGCCAAATTGAGATGTAAAGTGTTAGAATCCATAGACTAGAATCCTAGCTTAAAACCACTCTGGGCAGGCACAAAATCTATAGCTTATCATACTTGGAAACAGCTAACTAAAAAACTATCTTATTTACCTTGGACAGAAATACAAATCTTCTGGTGTTTCATTCATCAAAAAGTACTGAGCATGGCAATGTGACTTCTATATCTGCTTTTCTGCTCAGGTCATGGATTTTTTAAATCCAGACTTCCAGACTGATGGTCATTGACCACTTCTTGCTCCCTGGGAGCAAACTAACAGACATTTCAAATTCCCCAGGTCAAAGGCAAGTTATTCATAAGCATAGACACAAAGATTTAGTTCTTCAGTCCACTGGGAAACTTAGTGCAAACAAAAAGAGCAGTGACAATACTGCACTCCACACTCCCGACTCTCCTGCCTTTGGTGTCCTGCAGGAGAAACCTTTCTCACTTTGTTGGTAGAACACAAAACCCAGCAGATATACAGTAGGCACTGTGTGCAACTGTAGCTCAGTTCCAGCCCACACCAGTGGTGTGCAGCACACTTAGGAGCCCTGGGCCCTTTGCCATCTTACACAGCTACCAGGCACTTAACAGAGAAGGTGTTGAACTTCTGGAGGCTAAATTTTGGCTTTAGAATTCAGTATGTGTAGTTTTTAGGAGTATCTTTTGATTGTATGGGGTTTCAAAAGTGTGTGTGTACATGGGGATGGACAAGGGTTAAGTGGGAGAAAAGGATGTACCTACCTTTCGACTGTAGGAACTGTAGGACCCTGCTGCTGACTGAGCCATGCTGGTTGCTGCCTTAGTCCCAGAGGACTGGATGGACTTGCATAATCACTACAAGACCTATGAACTGCACTTGCTGCGTAGGGTCAGGAGACTGGAAAACCCATACGCATATCCCTCTTTTCTGAACGTTTAGGTAGCTGCTTTGAGGCCATTAGATACTGAGTTTACCAGCCTGGTACTGTGTTTATTAATTAATTTTCTGTTTGAATGGTCCACATGGACATGCCTTCAAGTCATGGAGATGGAGCCCTATAGATGGTGGGGCATGAACTGCCAAAAGCTTTTATGCCCACCTCACATCTTATCAAGTCAATGTTTCACTCATCCAGGACGTGTGTGATGCTTCAGTGCACCTCACACTTAGACTTTTCCACTTTTGTGGATGAGGAGCTCACTGGTGCTAGCTCTCCAGTTCTTGTTGAAAACTGTTTCCGACCAAATATTGACAGCCGAGAGACACTGTTAAGTAAGTTTTGGGATGCATTAAACATTGGAACTATGCTGTTTTTATCTGTGTCCAGGAGACAGTACATATTTTACAGGTACATGTATGATATCTGAGCAGTGTGAGTCAGCAGGTCATCTGCCTTTCTTATTTGGCCTACCTAATCACGAAAGGCTGACTCACCACACTTCATAACTAGGAGATAAAAAACACTGAACCCAGTACCAGATGCTGCCAATGCTTCTGTGAGGTTCCTGATTCCTGTTTTCAAAAAAGGTAGGCCCATCAGAGATAACTGCATTAAAACAGTGCTTGTATTATTATTTGCTGATTTAAATATTATTTGGCACTGCTTCTGTTCTTCACAGCTTTTATCCTCGTCTGTTTGATACATGAACACTACACCGTACAAGAAAGCCAACAATGTGTAATCAATAAATGCAAAGCTAAGCTCTGCATTTTTTCACATAATAACTGCTCAGGAAGAAGCTTGAGAGGGTAGTATCTGTCTCTCAACAGCTGAAATAGTTGAGATAACAAATGGCTGTATTGAAACACTTTGATTCTTATCACTACTCCAACAATCAGATTTGATCTAAATATGGTAGGCCATGTGGAGAAAGGATCTGAGAAAGAAGAAAGGCGTTATCCAACCTGGCCTTTTTCAGGTTAGATAAGGCCTTGAGCAACCTGGACTAGTAGGAGGTGTTTTTGCCCATGGCAGGGAGGGCTGGGACTAGATGACCTTTAAGGTGATTTCCAACACTTAACATTACAGAATTTTATGATCTGATGTATCTTATGTGAATTGTATGACTTGGGGTAGAATTTATCTAATTAAATTCTCTCTGCTTTGTTTTGTTCTGTTTTTTGAGGCACAAGATAGAAAATATTTCTAGAATGTGATCTTGACCTCTTTACATACAAGTGCTTGATGACAGTTCTGATGTTGTCTGTCATTCATATCCCTGCCACTTTTTTACAATTGTAACTATATAGTTGCAAATAATTTGTTTATTAATTTCTTCTAAGTCTTGTGTCCCCCAACTTTGGATGGATTTGAATTTGCCAAAGGAGACAGAATATTCATATGGGTAGAGATTTGTACAGTTACAATTTCCTCAAAAGCATAATGAGTACTTGTAGCAATGAGGGGTTTGCTGCAGACAGTACGTTCCAGTAGGCCCATTTATATATAGTGAGACATTAATTAAGTCCATGGCACCTCAGTTTGTATTTATAGCACACGTTCACTCTAGCTTTTATTTATAGGTTACCGTTTTGTGTTGTCTATATTATATGACTCTTTTGTTGGCAACAAGACTTGAATGTTATTTAAACAGTCTTACAGTAAATGCCAACTAGATGAGATGATTGTTCATTGGCTCTTCTTGGGGGAGGCCTCTGCACTTCTCTTGGGCTGTCTCTATTAATGGAGCATCTGAATGTTACATTTATGGGTTATGGATCTCCACCTGCCCCCACTGGCTCCCACAGCCGTTCTGTTGTTGCCTTGTTCTCTATTTATGCTTGTGTACTCC